GTTTTTCTGCTTCTTTTATGACCTGTACAGATTTGGGTCCCATCAAACCCTCGAGGTGCAGAAAGACTACCACCAGGAATTGTTAGAGCTGAGACAGACTTATACTTACGCAGATTGTGGGGCAAGCCGAATGAGGTGTGTTTCCTGAACCCTTTGTTGGTTATATTTTGAACCCTGAATTCCTTTCAACTTTCTAGTGTACACGTGAATACATTTATCTCTGGTATGTATAGATAAATTGCTTTGGTTTTGATTGAATAAGCTTTATAAATGAAATATCACTTTTGAAATTGTTGGAAAAATCTATCGTTACAAATTTTATTGTTCTTGTTAATTTTTGAATGTTTGATGCATATAGAGGGAAGTGGTCAGGGTGTTGGACGGGATTTTCGAATTACTGTCCGGGAAGCAAGGGTTTTGTGCTATGAGATGAAATAATATCTGCATCTTTTATTCCTTCAGCATAAAACCTTTTCAAATGCCTAGAGCCTAGTACATTTCAGGAACTCAGAAAGGCAGATTTTAGTGTCTGAGAGGTTGTTTTTGTATTGTTAATCGCCATTCACATGATAAAAACCATTATTGTTCGAGTCCATAGATTTAACAAAGGGACATTCTCTTACCCTGATTGTGGTTTGAAAATATCGGCATCTACAGGACTTGACCAGCACACCCAAGTATCTTGTCACATTTACTGTTGGTTATAATCAACGAAAGAATATTGATGCTGCAGTTAAAAAGGTACCTCTCTCCCTCTCTCTCTCTCTCGATGCACATGTGTGCATTAAGTATGCATGATTTTGTGTCTGAACGCGTGTGTGAAGAGTGCATCCTTATACACATCTTTTTGGAGGCATTTCTGGAAGATAGGCAGGATGCTGAGGTGGGATGGAGTTTTCTGTGGCTTTTGATTCCGAACTTTGCATGTTGTGACTAAAAAAGTGCTTCCAACAGTTTTCAGGGAATTTTACCATCCTTCTCTTTCATTATGATGGTCGAACAACTGAATGGGATGAGTTTGATTGGTCAAAGGAGGCAATACATGTGAGTGTTCGGAGGCAGACTAAATGGTAAGTAGTTAATCTAGATTCTCAAATTCAAGTCCTTTTGCTGTCAGGATTGGATGCAATGACTAGTTCTTGCGTTCCTTAATGTGTTTAAAAATCTAACTTAATATTTTAATTACCTAGGTGGTATGCCAAGAGGTTTTTGCACCCTGACATCGTGGCACCATATGATTACATATTCATCTGGGATGAGGACTTGGGGGTTGAGCATTTCAATGCAGAAAAGTGAGCATTGAACATTCCGGGACTTCTTAACAAATTGTTTGGTCAACCCATTTCCTTTAAAAAGAAGACCTTAAAACAATTTTCTTCTTTTTAAAAAAAAAAATTCAGATACATTAAACTGGTGAGAAAGCATGGACTGGAGATTTCGCAACCTGGTTTGGAACCGAGGAAAGGGTTAACCTGGCAAATGACAAAGAGGAGAGGAGATCGTGAAGTTCACAAGTAAGAAGCAGTAGGCTATTACACCAGGATTCGTCTAAGTCAGCTTAATTCATTGAATGTTAAATAACTGTTTCCATCTTTGAATTCTGGTCCAGAGAAACAGAGGAGAAACCAGGCCGGTGCAATCATCCGCATGTTCCTCCCTGTGCAGCGTATGTATAGCTTTGAGCATTTTTGTTTATGTATCATGCTTTTAATTCTCCATAAGCTCGGTAAATATTAACTTCCCTTTTCTTTCATAAATGTAGGTTTGTTGAGATAATGGCTCCTGTGTTCTCACGTGATGCATGGCGATGTGTATGGCATATGATTCAGGTATCGAGGTTCTTATTTTGGTTCATTTTAACATTGCTGCCCTCCCATTGTTTTCTTGGCATTACTCACTCTGCTGTTTATCTTGGACAATTTGTAGAATGACTTAGTCCATGGGTGGGGTCTTGATTTTGCCCTCAGAAAATGTGTAGAGGTTAGCATTCTGTTGCTCCCGTCTCTGTTGTTTATCTTCTTCCGTCCTTGAATCTATCCATGTTTGTAATTGTTCCTGTCACGACCGGTCAATCAACCAGGTACTCTTATTTGACCTGTTCTCGTTAGATAAAATGGAGTTGTGATAAGGACTGCTATAGGGAACATTATCAACTTGTAAGCACAATGCCGCATGAGTTGACACATAAAAAATGAGAGTACCTTATTGATCCACCGGTCGTGATAGTTCCATTCCCCTAACTCTTTAGAAATGACTTCTTTGTTCATCGATTGGATTACCGTTCACTAAGTAGGGTTGTATATCTTGAAAACAGCCCGCACACGAGAAGATCGGCGTCATAGATGCTCAGTGGATTGTTCATCAATCTGTTCCCTCTCTTGGGAGCCAGGTAATGAAAACTTTCCTCTTATCTTCCAATTTTTCCTCCTTTTTCTTACCCTCATTAGTTTACAGTTTTGGAGTTAAAATGATTTGTTTTTTTGGTAGGGAGAGTCGGAAAACGGGAAGGCGCCATGGAAAGGGGTACGTATGCATTATTTATTTGCTGTCTTCCAATTTTCCTTATTTTGGAGTTAATTTGTTAATTGTGAAATTGGCAGGTAAAGGAGAGGTGTAAAAAGGAATGGAGTCTATTCCAAACGCGGTTTTCAAGGGCGGAAAAGGCTTACTTCAAGTCTCTAAACAATACTTCTCATTAGGTACAGCCATATTATTCATTATTAGTTTAGTCCCTGCACTGCTTATTTTCTTTATCATTCACTTAGAAACTGTAGATGACAACATTATTTTTGTATCCCATTGTTCACTTAATAATCGTTACTTTTTTGGTCCTAAAATGAAAAATAATGCTTTCTTAACCAAACTTTGCCTACAGGGGGGAAGATAATATGATATGAAAATTCCAATTGTGTATTTACTCTCATCAATACCACTTACAATCATCTAAACATTAGAATAAATTGGGTTGGATGGATCTTTCTCAAAGTGAATCTTTACGATATCTATTATGGATTAAGTCGATCAATGAATCAGATATAGATGATTATATCAAAAAAGTTTATTTAGAAAATAAAATTAAAAATCAATATAACTTGCTCTGGGATGTAGACGCGATAACTTTACTAAAGGTGATAATGTCTTTTTACTATCTTGACTTCCAAAACTAATTTGAACTCGCCGGAAGGAAATGACTTGTTACACTAAAAATAAGCTATCGGTACAGTCGGAACCATGCCTGTAACTTAAATCACTATGTTTTTTTTTTCTTTTCAAATCACCAGTGAGATAGATTACAGTCTCATCATTTTTTTTTGGTAAACTACACATTTAATATCTAAATTATTAATTTTAATTCGTTTTAGTACCTAAACTTTCAATTTTTTTCAAAATCATATTTAAAGTTTAGTTTTTGTTTCATTTTTAGTACAAAAATTTAAGTGTTGAAAAAAATTTAAAAAAGAAGTACCAAAACACGTTAGCACCTAAACCATATTTAAGTTTTGGAAAAAAAGTTTAGGTACTAAAATAGACTAAAACTGATAATTAGGTACTAAACGCGTTAAATTTTAACAAAAGTATTAAAATGAAACAAAAAACTAAATGTTAAGTATAGTTTTTTAAAAAAATATTAAAAGTTTAGATATTAAAATGGATTAAAATCGATAGTTTAGGTACTAAATGCATAATTTACCCTATTTTTGTTTACAATTGCAGTCTCTATCATTAAGACTATGATAACTATTCTTTTTGTCAATCAATCGGTGGTGTAATTATATGCTAAATTCAAAACGTATCCATTTTGTATTAAATTTCAGTAGTGACAAGTAGCTATCAGAATCTTTTTCTGGGTGTCCTGTTTTAATGTAAAAATCTTGAGAAATGCAGTCCAGTGGCAATGGGGGTCCAAGAAGAAATGGACAAAAAGTATTTGAAGCAGGAGGTGCATGTTTAAGATTTGAAGATCGTTGTGTGGATGCGACGCTCACAATCACATGGCGATGGGCGAGTGTCCTTTTAAAAGGGACCATTGGTAGCTTTGTTTCGTAGCACAAACTTTTTCATAACAAAAGTTTCCATTTTGTTCCCTTTGATATTTTAAAGACAATTTAGGAGAATTCTATAGTTTAAGAATGGAATGTTTATTCCTTTTAATAACAATGGAAAATTAATAAGTTTTATTTTATGGTGAAATTATGCCATTATTTTATATGTATACATTTTGGATTTAGTCATTACATTTCAATTTAATCTATTTTCATTATTATATATTTGAATTATAAAATTTTAGTTGTGATTCAAACAATATATAGATAATATAATTAAATTTTGATATTATTTCAAACAAGGTAACAGATGTACTAACAAAGCTCGAGAATCATAATTCTATGAACGTCGTTCTTTTTGACGTTGTCCCATCGGACATTCATGTTCCTAAAAACTTAATGTATCTGAATAACTCTCCTTCCTAATTAAAAAAAAATTGTAAAAGTTTCTATATATTATACATCAATATTTAGATTCCATTTATGTTATCTAAGTTGATTGTTTTAAGTTTTTAATTAAATCATATTATCTATATGTATCCTTTGAATCAAGCTAAAAATTAACAATTTTAACAATTGTTTTAAGTTTTTAATTAAATCATATTATCCAAGTTGACTGACGTAAACTTACGCGGCATCTGGAAGTCAAGAAACTTCGTGCGGCCCCATCCTTATGCCACAATCTCCCACCTCATTGGCCACATCATACTTCAGCAAGACACGTGGCCTCTCCTAGTTTATCCTCCAGGTTACCCCCCAGCTCTTGTTTTTTAAAATCATGAACTCAATACATCACCAATCTCTCACAAATCTTACACGTGTCACCACGCGTACCCAATGAAGCCACCCTTGGTTAAGCCTCACAAACCATGATTAGCACACTGGTAGTTAGCATCAGCTCCCTCGTGTATATTTATCACCCCAACTTGTTATGTTGGTGTAAAAACAGGTGCTCGTCTATTGATGTATTTTTGTGGAAGCTGCTTTCCCTTGTCAAATTACTTTCCTGGAAAAGAAAGTGTGTTTTTCCAGGGGGGAAAACGATGGGGTTGTCCAACTTTCCTAGTGCATCCGAAGGGATACTTCCAATGCTGGTACTGAACACGGTTCTATCAGTGGCTTTGTTGAAGAACATGGTGAGATCTTTGCTGCAAGTGATGGGTGCAACTTGGAGCAGCAATTTCTCTGCTTCGAATTTAGATATCGACGACTCGGATGAGTTCCAGGACGATACCAGGAATGCAAGGAAGAGAAGGGTATCGATAACCCGATTCAAATCCTTGTGCCACCACAGGCACTACCACTCATCCGCGGCTTCCGGCGGATGTTGCGTGTGTTTATGCGGGTTCCAAGCTGACGAGGAGGTGAGTGAGTTGTCTTGCAAGCATTTCTTTCACAAAGGCTGCTTGGATAAGTGGTTCAACAACAAGCATAGTACCTGCCCTCTTTGCCGAGCTGCTAACTAGAGAAATTCGGGCTTATTCGGATCAGACCTACTGTTTTCTTTTCTTTTTCTCCCTTCTTGGTTCATTTATGAGCATACAAGATTGTCCTTTTTTTTTTCTTTTGCTCTCTCTTCTGTGTGTTTACAGTGTGTACAAGTACCACAGACAGTGTATCAATAAAAGAATTAATGGAGGGGTTGAACAAATTTTGATCCTTTATGTTTATGTTGTATGATATCAGATGGGACCATATTTCTTCAATGGAAGTAACCTTTTGTATACTGCAAGATTCATGTACTTAATAATGGGCATTGTTCAGAGTTGTCTGTGATGTCTATTATGCTGTTTTGCTATTGAGACAAAAATTCAACTAACAGTGAAGACGGTAACGGTATATTTTAGATATTGTTAAGCTGGAAACAGTTTTGGAACCATGAAGAAGGATCCACAGCATGCAGGTAACTGAGATGTAAGATTCAGTGTTGTCATATCCTATTATTGTTTTAAAAGATTCACAAGATTCCCTTTCTGTAAGCTAAATAACCTACATTAAAAATCACCTATGCATGTTGATTTTACTATATAAATGGACCCAAAATCTGGATTGGATGAGGCACTTGGTTGGTTTCTGTATCTCAAAAACCCAGAAGTTTCTTCATGTGAAGAAGACCATGTTCTACCAACAGATCATACCAAAATTTGACCTCAAAATTTGTCTGATAGATTTGGGGAAAGAAATAAAAGAAGGGAACTCTGGTTCCTTTCATTATTTTTCTTTCTTTTTGGGTAAAGGTAAACGACAAAGTTCTTTGAGGTTGAAATCGAGGCAATACAGGGTGGATTTAGCTGAATCATGTGTGTTAAGAATTCACTTAAACTAAAGAAAATCTTGGATAAAATACTTATTTCATTGATAAAAAAACAACTGTATAAAATAAGGAAATACTGGTGTGTTACGGAAGACGGCTATTGGATAGAATAAAATCGCAACTGATAATTTGAGAAAATAAAAATAAAGATAAAAGAAGACACAAATTTTACGTGGAAAACCCCTGAATAATATAGGGTAAAAACCATGGGCAACGGTAGAAGAATTTCACTATGAGAAAATAGGAATTACAACTTCTCTCGATCTACCATGGAGAAAACAATGACAATTCTCTCTTGATAAAAAGGAGAAAACAACTCTCAAGAAACTCTCTAAATTCTCTAGTATTGGAAGAAAGCTAGAATGCTTTGGGATGGTTTTAAAACTAAATGAGCTAGGGTATTTATAGTTGAAGCTTAAGGACTAATTTATAAATACCCTAAATTATAATGACTAAAATTTAGGATTTTACCATTTTTTTCAACAAAATCTGCACCTTTCGGTGCCCCCTTTTTTAATCAATTTCATTCTTTTGTTTTCTCATGCACTTTCGATGCATGTGCCTCAATTTTCAACAATCTCTCACTTGAAGATTTGATTTGAACAATCATATCTTCACACCATTCTTTCTATCTTGTATCATCATGTTGCTTACGTCTCTGACAGACCACAAGAGGATCAACACCAAGTAAATTTATCAACATTGATCGCCTTCGTCATGAAATCTGCTATGTTGTCTTTGGTATGGATTTTCTGCATATCTACCGTCCCTTCTTCCACCTTTTCACGAATGAAATGGTACTGAACTCGTATGTGTTTTGTCCTTGAATGAAATGTTGGATTCCTTGCTAGTGCAATGCACTTTGACTGTCACACAATAAAGAGACATAATCTTGATTGTGCCCAAGCTCCTCCAATAGCATCTTCAACCAAATTGCTTCTTTACTGGCTTGTGTAGCTGCTACATATTATGTCTCTGTTGTGGATATAGCCATAACTGACTGCAATTTTGAAACCCAGCTTACAGCTCCACCAGCAACTTTAAACACATATCTTGTAGTAGATTTGCTTTTATCCAAATTCCCTGCATAGTCAGAATCAACATACCCATTGATAAGTAAGTTTGATCCTCCGTAATATAAAGCAACATTTGAGGTCCCTTTGATGTATCTCAGGATCCTCTTTACTGTATTCCAATGCTCTTTGCCTAGATTTGCCATGTACCGACTAACCACTCCCACTGCTTGTGCAATGTCTGGTAATGTGCATATCATAACAAACATTAAACTTCCCACTGCTGATGCATACGGTACTTGAGACATCTTCATCCTCTCTTCTTCACTACTAGGACTTATACTGGAGGATAATTTAAAGTTAATAGGAAGATGGGTAGAAATTGACTTACAATTTTGCATGTTGAATCGTGACAAGATATTCTTCAAGTAATTCTTTTGTGAAAGTCAAATCTTCCTATTACTTCTATCTCGGTGAATTTGCATCCCTAGAATATTGTTTGTTGATCCCAAGTCCTTCATTTCAAATTCCCTAGCCAGTTGTGCCTTCAATTCTTCAATATGATATTTGTTGGGTCCTGCAACCAACATGTCATCCACATACAACAACAATATAACAAAATCGTTATCACCAAACCTCTTAAAATAAGCACAAGGGTCTGCATTAAGTATGTTGTATCCAAGGCACATAATGAATGAATCAAATCTCTTATACCAATACCTCGGTGCCTGCTTTAGACCGTACAGAGATTTGTTCAACCTGCAAACCAAGTTCTTCTTTTCTTTTTCTTCAAAACCTTCAGGCTGGAGCATATAAATTTCTTCTTCAAGATTTCCATGAAGAAAAATTGTTTTAACATCTAGCTGCTCTAGATGTAAGTTCAATGTAACACACATTGCCAAAACTACTTGAATTATTGTTAGTCAAACCACAGGAGAAAAGATTTCATTGAAATTAGTACCTTTTTTTTTGAGCATATCCCTTGACCACCAGTCTTGCACGATACCTCTCAACTTGATTGTCACCATTTCGTTTGATTTTGAAGACTCATTTGTTACCAATTGGCTTCCTTCCTTGTGGTAGTGGCACAAAGTCCCATGTATTATTTTTATGAAGGGCTTTAATTTCCTCTTGCATCGCAATCATCTATAGTGAAGCATCTGAGTTGTTTATTGCCTCCTGGTATGTTGATGGCTCACCGTCATCTGTTAAAAGGCAGTATGCAATATTACCTTCTATAACATAATCTGAGTGCCAATTAGGATGTCTTCTCACACGATCTGATTGACGAGTTATTGGAGCTTCAAAACTCTCTGGTTCTTGTACATCATGTGCTGGTTCTACTTCAAAAGAATCTCCTTGTTCAAACTCTTTTTCCACATGTATCTGTGTAATCTCTGACTTTTCAGCGCTACCATATTCTTTTTTTTTTGTAGCTTATCTTCTACAAAGATAACATCTCTACTGATGATCACTTTGCGGGAAGTGGGATCCCACAAGCGATACCCCTTTATACCATCAGCATACCCCAAGAATTTGCATTTCCTGGATTTTGGATCCAACTTTGAAATTTCTTGGGAGTTGTACATCACGTATACAATACGTCCAAATACATGGAGGTTTGAATAATCAGCTGATTTACCAATCCCATCTCCATTGGTGTCTTCAGCTCTATTGCAGTTGATGGAGCTCGATTCACCAAATAATAGGTGATATTGACTGCTTCTGCCCAGAATGATTTTTCTAGGCCTGCATCCCTCAACATTGCTTTTGTTCTTTTTAACAAGTTTCTGTTCATCCGCTCTACCACTCCATTTTGTTGAGGAGTGTTCACCACTGTGAACTGTCTTTTGATGTCTTCTTTCCTGCAAAAGTTATCAAATTCTTCACTTGTGTATTCTCCTCCATTATCTGTTCTGAAACACTTGATCTTATTTCCAGAATCAAGTTCCACCCGTGCTTTGAAGCTTTTGAAAGTTGAAAACACATCTGACTTCTTCTTAATAGGGTACACCCAACATCTCCTGGATTAGTTATCAATAAATGAGACAAAATAATTTTTCTCCACCTAGGGATGTAACTGTGCTTGCCATATGTCAGAATGAACCAATTCTAGAACATTTATGCCTCTAGAATTTGACGTGTTGAATTTTAATCGGTGCTGCTTACTTGTTATGCAATACTCACACAAAGTAAGTGATACATTCGTTAAGCCTGGAAGTAGCTTTCGCTCCACAAGGACTTTCATTCTTGTTCTGATATGTGTCCAAGTTTCTGATGCCATAGCATTGCAGAATCTGAACTATATGAAGCAACAGAGGCTTCTGCTTATAGCAAAGTCTCTCCCTTCAGCATGTACAACTTTGCAGCTATCTTTTCGCCTTTCAGCACCATAAGCGCTCCACGGAACACCTTCATGATTCATTTCCGTGTTTCAATCTTGCTTGCATTATTATCCAACAATCCGTAGGATAATAAATTTTTCAGAACTTTCACATGTCGCATATCTCGAACAACTTTAATTGTTCCATCATACATCTTTAATTTGATGGTTCCCATGCCAATGGTCTCTAAGGCATGATCATTGCAACTATACACAGATCCTCCTAAGACAGGTTCATAATGATGTAACCATTCTCTTCTTGAGGTCATGTGATATGTTGCTCCTGAATCAATGAGCCATATATCTGCAAATCTTTTTCTGTCTTCCATGGTTGTTGACGCTTCACAACATAGAGTATCTCCATCATCTGAAGTATTTGCGGTATTTCCTTGTAGATTGGAGTTTTTATTTACACTTTAAATTCTTCTTACTCCTCGACTTCGATCTATCATGTTTGTGACTGCTGCTTTGGCCACGTTCTGTTGATCTCCCTGTCATCGTTGTCAATGCTTCTGCTTGTTGCAGATTTACTTGTCTGTCTTTCTTGTTCTGGCACTGATTTTCTTCTTGTAGAATATCAGCTGCAACGTCATCGAAGACTAGACTGGTGACATTACTGTTTGTCAAGTTGATGATGAGTTGATCATACGAATCTGGTAGACTTTGAAGTAGAAGTTTAGCACGTTCTTGTTCTCATATTTTACAACTTAAGGATGTAAGCTGAGAAAATAAAGTGTTCAGTGTGTTTAAGTGCTCCATCACTGAAGTATATTATGGCATACGGAGAGTGTACAATTTCCTCTTAAGAAAAATTTGATTGTGCAACGATGTGGCCTCGTACAATTTGGTGAGATGATATCATATCTCCTTAGTTATCCTCTTCTCCTCGACACTTGACAATAGTTCTTCTTCTAATGCTAGATGAAAGTTCACCAGAGCAT